CGAGCTGCTGCTGTAGTTTCGCCGGCGGGGCATAATTATTTTGTTATGGCTTGTGTAACGCATGCCAGCGAGAGATATTTGATAAATATTTATATTACTCTTGGCATAACTACCGAACCGAATGCTTTTATCTAATTCGTGTATATTTGACTAGCATAAATTGAAAATTGTTTTGTTTTTCTTTTTTTTTTCACGCATAACGTGTATGGGTATATCTACAGCTGCATCCACACGTTATATTTATTGAAATTGCCATAAACTTCACAGAAATTATGTAGTAAAGGCAGAATATTATACGAAGTCCATCGTCTGTCATGGATAATGATACTATATAAGGATTTGAGCAAATGTCGAATAATAATTATTGTGAATGAAAAATGAAAATACGGGAGAGAGATTTTCCAGAAGTTGATGTGTTTTCTTACTCATTCTCGTTTTACCTCTCCCATTTGATTTAATGAACATTTTTTCTAGCTGTCTTTTCTTTCTCTCCTATCCTCAATTGAGTCTATTCCAAGTTTATATATATATATATATATATATATATATATATATATATATATATATACTTCTATATATATATATATTTTTAATATCCAAATTTACCTCTAAAATGTAAACTTTATACTCTACTCTAGAGTATTTATGTGATAATACACAAACACACACACACACACACACTAAAAGTCTAAAAAGTGAACCGTCTCTCACCTAGTTCTACTTTGTTATTTTATTGGCTGTGCGCGTCTACGCTGCGTATGCGCGATTTGCCAGCTATATTTCGAGCTGAATTCGCAGAGCGCTCAAAAGTATGCAGCACTTTTTAATTTGCCAGCTCAGACAGAACGAGAGTGGCGCAACGAGATTTGGCATTTGCCAAAAAATGTTAATAATTTCATTCGAATGGATTTGCGCACGTTATAAAACACTCAACACTCAGCACTCAACACTCAGCAGTTGGCAGTCGTCAGTCGTCAGTCGTCTGTCGGCACTCGATGTTGCTGACGACATGACGCATTGGAAGTTTATTTTTTGAAATGCCAGCGAATATTATTTCACTTTTCTTTTTTTTTGTTTGTCAAAGATTTTTTCTGCGCCCAGTTTTTTTGGTGCTTGTGTTTGTTGCCATTTCTACTTCTATTTTTGTTCCTTTTCTTTTTTTCATGCAGCGGCTTTGCAGTCGCATAAATCAATCAAATGCAGGCACAGCACGCAATGCACACAAAGATCAGAAGCCGCCGGAGTGGGCGGGGCGAAGGGCCTGAGCTGAGCTGGGTATATCTATCCATCTATGCCTCACATCCCATTGCCAAGAATCCATGCAAACATTTTCAATTAAAAATTGCTTTGCCATTTGTCAGCACACACAGCTCTCTCTCTCTCTCACTCTCTTTGTGTGTGTGTGTGTGTAGCTGTCTCTGTTTTCTGTGTCCAATATTGCCAATTGCTTATCCATCACAATCACAGTCAAGCATTAGACATGAGACAACGTCGTCTTTGCTTGTCAAATACATTCATATGTTGCTTATAGTCGAACAGTGCTTGCCAAACTGTATGTGTGTGTGTGTGTGAGTGGGTGACTGCGAAACTGTGCTGGCTGCAAATTTATATCCACAAACTTGAACTTTAACTCTTGCCCCTTGCCAAAAATGGATCTCAAACGGTGCCGCCTTTTGGCCTGTTGCCTGCTGACTGGCCCGTTCGAGGCGCTGAACTACGCTCTAAATTCAATTGTTGTTAAACGTCTTGGCCAGGTTGTGGTCCCTCAATGGTCCGGGGTCCACTGGCGGCCCAGTCATTGTGGCCTGCATAAAACACATTTGGCTTCCAGCTAAATGTACCTTGGAGGCACTTTTGACTTTGGCCCGCAGCCCAAACACACATTATCTAATCCATATATATGTACATATATATGAGAGAGAGAGTGTGTGTGTCAGTGTTTGTGTCTATGCCTTTATTTGCTGCTGCTGCTCTGGCCTATGCTGCTAATGGATTTTAAATGAGCATCATAAATACTAAACCCAAAATTGCTCCAACGCCCACACACACACACACAAACACTCATACTTGTGCCTCGTTGTTGGCTGTGTGTTACAATCCGCTTTGCTTCGAGTCCAGACTTGGCCTTCAGCTTGAATTCTCATTTGGTGTCTAGTTCGTTTTCTCATATTCCATTTATTCTTCTCGTCTCGTTCATTTGTCTGTTCTGTGTCTGCTTTACGAAGAGGGATCCACCGAATGAGAACTTTAACCAGGTTTTCCTAAAACTATATCATGTTGTTTAAGTGTGTCTTCAAATTTTTCAATCGGCTTGCAACGTCTCTAAAGCCTATTTTCATAGGAATTAGCTAGTCATTGTCAATGTCATTGTCATTGTCATTGTCATTGTCATTGTCATTGTCATTGTCATTGTCATTGTCATTGTCATTGTCATTGTCATTGTCATTGTCATTGTCATTGTCATTGTCATTGTCATTGTCATTGTCATTGTCATTGTCATTGTCATTGTCATTGTCATTGTCATTGTCATTGTCATTGTCATTGTCATTGTCATTGTCATTGTCATTGTCATTGTCATTGTCATTGTCATTGTCATTGTCATTGTCATTGTCATTGTCATTGTCATTGTCATTGTCATTGTCATTGTCATTGTCATTGTCATTGTCATTGTCATTGTCATTGTCATTGTCATTGTCATTGTCATTGTCATTGTCATTGTCATTGTCATTGTCATTGTCATTGTCATTGTCATTGTCATTGTCATTGTCATTGTCATTGTCATTGTCATTGTCATTGTCATTGTCATTGTCATTGTCATTGTCATTGTCATTGTCATTGTCATTGTCATTGTCATTGTCATTGTCATTGTCATTGTCATTGTCATTGTCATTGTCATTGTCATTGTCATTGTCATTGTCATTGTCATTGTCATTGTCATTGTCATTGTCATTGTCATTGTCATTGTCATTGTCATTGTCATTGTCATTGTCATTGTCATTGTCATTGTCATTGTCATTGTCATTGTCATTGTCATTGTCATTGTCAATGTCATTGTCATTGTCATTGTCATTGTCATTGTCATTGTCATTGTCAATGTCATTGTCATTGTCATTGTCATTGTCATTGTCATTGTCATTGTCATTGTCATTGTCATTGTCATTGTCAATGTCAATGTCATTGTCATTGTCCCTGATTAAGTTACATTATTTATTATATAGTATTTCATTATATTTAAAGAGCATTAGCTGCTGATTGTGACTTAAGCTTTACTTTTTTCGGTGACATTTTTCGCCTTTCTCTTGGGTAGTTGTTTTGGCTTTTGGTTTCGTGGCTGTGCCAAATAGCAAGGACTATAAATATTTGTTACGCTGACGTTGTAAGAGCGCTGCATGTGTCACACACACACACAAACACTCGCATATCTGTGTGTTGCTGTTGTTGTTGTTTGTCTACTTTCGCGTCTACAAATCCAGCGTGTGGCATAAAAATGACTGCAATTTATGTTTTCCTATGAATATATTTGCGCGCTCCACATACACAGACATACACACACACATACTTATATAGAGATTGTCGTTTCCCGTCGAGCTACTTCAGTGGCTTGAGGTGCTGAGGCTATAAGTCCTAACTGTTACTCTATTTGATTGCATAAATTTTATGCAGATTTCATTTGTTGTCATTTTTAGTGATTTTTATTAAATGCAACTAACTTGACGAGTTTATTACGCATACGCTGCGTGGGCCGCTGTATGAAATTTAATAATGCTGAAATGGTAAATCGGTTATAATGGTTGCCATGTTCGCGCAGACACGCACACTCACACACACACACACACACACAAATAGTTCCCCTAAAGACTTGTCAGCTAATATAACAGCTTGAGTCTTGAGTCGCCTTCGTTGCCGCAGGAGCAGCTTTTCCCGGGCTCTCGTGGAAACCAATAACTAACAATCAACTACATGTGTGTGTGTGTGTGTGTGTGTGTGTGTGGGACGGCCAGACACTTTATGGGTCTGTCATGTGCGCGGCTTTTGGGTCACGTTGATCATGCGACAACTGGACAGGCAACATTTGTACAACAAACTGCAGCATTTAATTACAAAAACTGACACACAACAACAGCAACAAAAAATTGAAAATAAAAAAGAGGGTAAGAGATAGGCAGAGAAAGGGAGAGAAGAGCGGCTACAGAAGAAAGTACAGTGCCACGCACTTGAACTGGGAAGCAATGAGTAATGGTAGCTGCAACTAGACAGAGCTTAAGCTTTGGCTTTTTGAAATTTTCTATAGAGACTCAGCTTGAAATTTGGTTAGGAGGGGAAACAATCATGTTGGAAAAAGTTTTATTATAGTTGAAAATAGGAATACAAACATATTTGGCTAGAAAGCCAAAGCTTCTGAAATTATGAAAAATATGTGGATGTAATTCTTAGGTCTATCAATCAATACATTTGCAGATAGTAAATGAATTGTAAATAATCTGAAGACGTATCAGTATATGTATATTGTTAAGATCATAATTAACCAATCGGCTTCAGAATGAATCGTTAATTCGTTTTACTTAATACTTATACTTAACTAAACCATAAAACTTGAGTAAAATCATTATTTTACAAAAATATACATTCGAGATTATCTCTATATTAAACAATTCCCATTCCAAATTTCTTGTGTTTCCTATATTTAGATGTTCCTTGCCTGCTGCTCTATACGAAATCTATTGATACACTTTCTGAATCTGTTTCTGGCACACGTACAAGCATATATCATCGGGCAAACGTAAATATGGTTCACTTCATAACAAAAAGCCACAACAAAATTGGTAAGAGCCACCAAAAGTGGAAAGGAAGAAAGAAAACCCGTTTTAGTATTGCTGGACAGGTCATAAATTTCGGGGTCTATGGCAGACAGTTCTTTCTTACTATTCCAGCGCTTCTTTTGGCTCCATTTCGAAAGCTCCCCCTGTGAGCGCCCCAATTGCCCCCCGTTCGGTACTCACAGTTGACGTTCAGCGTTACGCTGGTCTCCAGCGTGTGGCCCTCGGGCATGGCACGATTCCAAACGACGCATATGTACTTGGCACCATCGTCCGCCCGTCTGGGCAGTATCTGCAGCGTCGCATTCGTGTAGTGGTTCTTGGAGCCGCCCTTCAGCGCGTACGACTGCAATGGCACTTTGCTGCCCTCTCGAAACCAGCTGCAACATATAAAGAAGTGAGACGGAGTGAGTCAGAGAGAGAGAGAGGGCGACAGCGATTTAGTGCCGAAAAAAAGAGAAGAAGGAATGTGCCGGCTGGGATTATTAATGAAGGCGAGCAGTTAAGTGATTTACTTGCCGCCGGATGTGCTTAAACTGTCGCTGACCACAACGTCGACGACAGCTGTGGGCCCAAAAAATAAAAAAAATGTTTATATGAAAAAAGAAAGTATTTCAAAAAATATATTTTAAATTATCGGCAAGTCGAAATTAAAATACGCTTGCAGAGAGCTTAAAACAGAGTCAAGCTAACAGCTGTCCTTAATGATAAGTTTGTCTGCTACATTGCGTATACGCAGTGTGCATAGCTACTCTCTCCTGGTATTACAGCTTTACTCATTAGCTCTGACCTAAATCTGTCGCTGTAACTGTATGCAGTGCTCTGATATAGTGATATATGTACTGTTCTCCTTTATCTCTCCTATACATTATAATGTTAAGCTTCTGCAGTGTAGATTAACTAAGATTTGCACACTGTAACATTATAATATAACAATACTTTTAAATTGATTAACTCGTGCAGTGTTATACAGCTGTACTTTTAGCCTGTCATACTTATATGCTCATATACTGATCTGTTTCTCTTCGGCTGTAGTGCTATAGTCTTCTAGTGCAATGCTGTCATACTGTAATAACTATTATACATTAAACTGTCATACTCTAAGATTTCTATACTGCTTTAATATTATGATGTATTCGTGTTCAGTTATACAGTTACCCTTTTGGACTGTTATACTGATAAATGGTTAAACTTTAACATTGTTATAATGTTAAATTTAGTATATTGTTGAGCTGGTATACTCTTATATTGTTAAGCTCTTATACATAATGCTACTGTTATAATGTTGCCGAGTTATGTTAATATGATCGAAGACTCTTTAGCTGTTATACTCGTATATTTTTAAATACCTTACTGCTTTGCTGTTAAAATGTTGTACTCATTCAATGTTATACTGATAAAGTGTTAGACTGTTATACTGTTCTATTCACAAACTTAATAGACTTTTAGCACACTAATATGTTATATCTTCTATGCTTATATTCGACATTCTGCTATTCTGTAATACTCTAATAATTCCCTACACCTATACTGATATATCTCACTGATTGTTAATCAGACTGAAACATAAACCACAGTAGCTGCTTTATATACTCTTATCCATCAGGAAGCCTCATTAGACAAACTTAGTCTGTTACTTTACTCCTTATACAAATCAGATAAATAAGTTAACTACGCTCGCTCTGCAAGCGTATTCCCCCTCTCCAAAAATAATAAGTAACGCAATTTCGTCCCCTCTAAATGCGAGTAATATGAACTTTCATTAATTATGCGCTCTTACGTTATCGTGGGATCCGGTGAGCCGCCAATGCTGCTGCAGGTCAGCTCGAGTGGCTTCTCCTCGGTGGCCACCGCAATGTTCCCGGGCGTCACCATTGGCGGATGTGGGGCCGTTAGCACTGTCACGTTGTAAAACTCCTGATGCACATCGGCCCCGGTGCCTTTGGCCTTGATGCGGCACTCGAACCGTCCATTGTCCCGATTGTAGGAGGTGTTCTTAATTTGCAGATCGTAAATGCCGTGACCCGGCCGAAAGTCAAGTCTGCAAGGGATGAAAGTACAAAAAGAGACAAGTAAATACATAGACAATGAATGAAAGAGAGAGAGAGAGAGAGGGAGAGAGAGAGAGAGAGTGGAAATGCAGTGAATTAAAGGGCGATTTATAGGGCGTAAAGCAGAAGCGAGAACAAAATATTTTCCACTTTATGTAAATTAACTGCCGCCATACTTTGTTAATTTACAACGCTATAAATAGGTAGGGTATATATGGTGTGTATTATTTTATTATTTCTTGTTTGACTATAAAAATATTTGAGCTAAATCAATTGTTATCGTTCTGTGTTTTGCTTTTGTGAGGAAATAAACATTATTTTTATGGAATTTCGGATCTAAGGCTGAAATAGAACTTTGTTGGTGTTATGTGCATGATGTGATAGATGTGATATATATAAATGGCTTATATATAGTTAGTAGATATATTGAGATTCAGAAGTCTGAAACTTATGTATGAAAGAATTCTTATGAGTTCATCCATTTTGTTAGCCGAAAAAAGCTAAACATTTCAGATTGATATCTTCATATATGATGATATATTTTAGTTTTAGAAAGATTTAAGTAACATGAGTACAAAAGTCAAGTCAACTACCCTAAGACTTAATTATTTAGCGTTAGAGGCTTAGAGCATCATAATTTTAACCTAAATAATATTTTGAAGACTATAAAATATTTTCAATCTAAACACATCCTTGGCCATATTAGAATTTATTTTCACTTATGAATCTCAACAGAAATACATTTAAAATATAAAAATACTTTTGCGCCCTCCACAAATTTGGACTCAACTATCAAAAAATATTTTAAAATATTTCATACTATAATTTAGCTAATAATGAAAAGTCCTTTAAGAGTATTCTAAGCTATGCTTGGATTCCTTCTATTTATGTACGAATTTATTTAAGTCATTCGCAACGAAATAGCTGCGGAGAGCATCTCGAAGTCAACAATCGCAGTTCTCTTCATTAAAAGTGGCTTGGCTCGGCCTTTGCCATGTTTTGCGCGTATCCTGCCTGCTGTTTCCTTCGTCCAGTTTTGTGCACTTGTTTCCTTTTGTTGCTTTTGCTTTTTTGTTTTCTCTTTCCCTCGTCATTTCTTCCTGTTGTTTGTTTGTTTATTTTATGCTCTGGCTTTTGTGTGAAACATTTCGGTTTTCGTGTGGCTTAGGCGGAGTTTAGCACGAGGCCGCGAAATAAAATGAAAAATGCTCATGGCAAATTAAGCGTCGAACTCATTTTTGTGAATTTATTAGCTTAATTTTCGGGGGACCAGCTTCTGCTGCTTCTTATTCCTGTACTTATTCCACGGTTGCCATAGGCCCAGCGCATTACATTTTGATTAATTTAGTATATATATTTTTTATTTTTTGTTAGCTGGCTCTGGCAGTTGCTACCTGCCAATGAAATCGAGGCGGAGAAGACACTAAACAAAATATGGAATGCAAATGGAAAAATGAAATGAATGACAAAAAAAAATATATATATATATCAATATATACAAGTTGGCATAAAAAATTAACAGAATACTAAATATACAAAAAAAAAAATAAAAAAATAAAAAAATAAAATAAATAAATAAATAAATAAATAAATAAATAAAAAAAATTTAAAAAAAAATAAAAAAAAAAATAAATGAAAAACTGATAAAAATATAAGTAAAAAAATTAAAAATATAATAAAACAAGTAAGAAGGCTCCAGTCGAGACTGCTCGACTAGGAGATACCCTGAACCCTCCAAGCTGATATTCTAATCATTCTGCATTTCTTCTATGCACACATACATACACATGCACTTATAAGCACGCGCTCTGCTAACTGCGCAGTAAGTAGCGGCTGCGCTTGGGCTGCGCTGCAATGTGGGCAATATTATGACAATTTATTTGTTTAATAATTACTTTTGTAGACATAAGATCTTAATGAAACTTTTAGAGTGTAATCATATGATGAATATGTGTGTACATTCCAAAGCACAAGTCTCTAGTATTTGAAATGCGTTTTTTACAAATTGGGGGCGAAGGGGGCGTGGTATCCAAAATCTGTAAATTACAAAATCTTTGTGTCCATTAACTCTATATACAACGCAAATTTGAAGTCTCTAGGTTTAAAAGTGTTCAAACTAGGCTGAAAAAACCAAGTCGATTTTTCGATTATTCTCGATAAAAAAGTTATCGGATGAGTTATCGAAAAAATAAAGCAAACTCGTACTGCCTATGGTATACACGAGTATGCATGCCAAATTTCAGCTCTCTAGCTCTTATATCTTCTGAGATCCTTTTGCTCATACGGACGGACGGACGGACGGACGGACGGACGGACGGACGGACGGACGGACGGAGGGACGGACGGACGGACGGACGGACAGACGGACAGGGCTATATCGACTCAGCTCGTCGTCCTGATCAAGAATATATATACTTTATGGGGTCTGCGATGATTCCTTCTGCCTGTTACATACTTTTCACAAAACCATTATACCCTGATTTCCCATTTTCAATGGGTTCAGGGTATAAAAAATGTATTGTACTAATAGTTTACAAATTTAAAAAATATATTTATACTTAAAATTTACAAAATATAAAGAAGAAATTATTAAATATTATTATTGCATTTAACAATTTTAATAAGTGAAATATAAAGCACATAAATATGGAGTAAATATTGAAATTCAGTTCAACCCAGCGTAAACTTAGACATAAATGTATATATTTAAGCACTTTTGGAAAATTAAATTTATTTTGAATTATTTCATTTACAAGAGGTAAGTTTTCAGATTATCTGTGCATATCTCAAATCAAAATATCATAGTTAAATATTAAATTTAAAAAGTCATTTAGGTAGGTTGTGAACCAAAATTATTTTCCATTTTATTTTTTATATCTTCTATTCAGTCAAAATTTATGTATGAGCATTAAGCTCAACCACACTGAGAAAGGAAATATATAATATACATAAATAGATAAATATATATATATATATAAAATATTAGGAATTATTTCTGATGCCATACTCCACTCCAATCGCAGCTCAATTCACCTCAAGCTCTGGCATTGCAATCACCTTTCAGCAAAGGGAAAGTCTTTTTAAAAGTATTTCTAATCATGCTAAAATTATTACACACAAATGCTCGCAATGTGTTTTCAGTTTCAAGTCTACCCCAGTTGCAGCTCACATTTTTTCGCTGAGTGTAGCGCTCAGGCGAAACTCAATCAAGCGTAATAGCTCGAAATTGTTGAATACTTTGTGGGTCTGTCGCGTATTTCAAGGAAATGCTTTTAGTGCCTAGTCCAAAAGGTGCTGCAGCTCTGCTGGCTTCCACCTCCAGCCTGCCACGCCCACCCCCACTTAACTTCATCAACGTCATCGTCATTTATTTAGCCCAGCCGCCGCAATGCTTTGTGTTTAAGTTTTAATTTCTCTTGATGAGATTTTTTCTCTGTTGCAACCACAAACGTTGTAGACATTCAGCGGCGGCGTGTGTGTGTGAGTGTATGCGTGTGTGTGAGCTGGGGGTATATAAATCATGCACTCGACATTATTAAAGTAGATCTTATAAACTTCTTGAGTGCATATGCATGCAGACGAGGGCAAAGCGAGAAACTTTTTAAATAAAATTTCAATTTTGATAACTTTTATGGCAAAGTCGACTTGCAGGCAGCCATTGGCAGAGGCAAGGGGAAGGGGAAGGGGAAGGGGTTGGGTTGAAGGGTGGGGGACGGCTGTGCGAAACCACACACACATGTGCCGTTGTTCAGCCAAATGCGGCGCACTTCCGTTTCTGCTAGCTCAAATAGCATTTCGGTTGTGCTCTGTTTTTGCAGTCTTACAGCTGCTGGGCCCAAGGAAATGGCTGCATTTTTACCGTTGCCAGAGATTTCCCTTCATTTCGTATGCCCGGTACATATAAAATGCCTAAATAAGGGTATAATGATGCTTGCACAGAATGTGGGTCAAAGGCAAAGCGAAGGGAAGCTAGCCGACAATGCAATGCGCTTGATTAGATATCCTCTATGTATGATTGGTATAAGACGTTTTATTGTTATCGATAACTTCTTACTACTTCAGAATACGGATTTTAAAGACATCTCGTGTATATATGTATGTTATATATGTATATAGGCTTCACTTGTTATCGATAAATTTACAATTCCTATATGTTGAAATAGTTGCTAAGTGTACTGCAAGAAGCTCAGTTCGATTTTACCTATGCCCCTAAATTATGTAGGTAAAAGACCGTTACCTGTTATCGATAGTTTTAGAAATCGATTACTATCGATCTTGTAGTAAGCCAGTAAGTTCTCAGGGATATAACATTTACTATAACATTTTAATCTATAAGTATAAGCTCGATTTATATTACTATCTGACATTCAATTTAATTTTGAATATACTTCATTTAAATTCACGTAAAAGAACTATCAACTTCAGGGTATTTCTTAGTCGAGCACCTTTAGCTGACATACTCTTACTTGATTTTCCTGCCGTTGCATTTCCGGCTGTGACTTTTACGAGGCTGCATCTTGAGTTTTGTATCGCAACGGTACATATATAAATGTGTATGTATGTGTGTGTGTGCCAAGTGGTGCAGCTCAAGCGAAGCACATAATTGCCTCTGCCTCAGCCTCTGCTTCAGCCTCTGCTTCAGACTCAGTCTCAGTCTAAGTCTCAGTCTCGGTCTCAGTCTCAGGCTCCGTCTCAGGCTCCGTCCGCGCCTCAGTCGCAGCTGGTGCTGCCGCAGCATGTCCTTCGCCCGGGCAGGACCAAAAAGGAATTTCTAATGTGAAAATAAGTGCTGCCTCCGTTATTATGTTGCATCGTCGCAGGACTTATGCAAAACAGTCGCAGAATTGTTATGCAAATTGCAGCCAATTACATGGCAAATGCCTGCCTGCCTGCCCGCCAGCCATGCCCATCCGCCTGCTCTTCCTCTCGCTCGCTCGCTCGCTCACCCCACACAGCATAACTCTCAATAAGTACTCGTACATAAGTGAAG